CCATAAAATAAAAAAGTCAGGAATCCTCCACTTTCTTCAAATATGCAAATTAGCCAAGTCATGAACCCCTGATGCCGGTCGCCGGCGATTAGGTTAACGTGGTGGTGTTTCGGCCGCGCACCTCCAGTGCAGTCACGATATGAACGTAATGAAGCGCGGCAAGGGCCGTTTTTGGGCTCAGAAGCTAAGAATCGCGGCAGTCATCATCGTATGTATAATGTGATGTTTTTTCAGTGCTTGTTATATCTTAATTTTTTTTGATTCTTTCTTTTTCTCATCTTTTGTTAAAAAAAAAGTAAGGCTACGTGACAGATTGACTTCGGAATTTCGGAATTCGGTGGATAAAAAGGGGTCTTGTTTATTTTTTATGGGGGAAAGAAAATATGAAAGCTTTATGTTTAGATTTTGTTATCTTTGATTCGAAGTTGTGGTTGGTTTGGTTTTTCCTAGTTTGATCTCCTCAAGTTCAGTAGTCTTTGGCCGGGTTTTTTTAGGTGGTTACGGTCCATTAGAGATTGCGGGTCGGTGCTCGGGCGGGGTCTGTTATCATTGGATCTCTTGTCCGCGCTCAAGTTCTGGGGTCTTTGGTCATCTCTTATCTCCTTTTTTTCTGAATTGCTGTCCAGGGTTCGGGGCTTTCGTGTGGTTTTGGTCTAGTCTCGCTTGTGTTTCTTCTGGGTTTGTTTTACAGGTTGTTCTCTCGGCGGTTGTCGTTGGTATGTTGCAGTTTTCTGCTCGTCTGTGTCATTTTCGCGTTGGTTTTTCTGTGAGGCCTCCTCCGTTACGGGAAGGGAGTTATGATGTATCAGTTGGTTTCTTTTTCTCCTTTCCGATGGATCTCGTTGGTCCGGCTGGGGTTTTTGTGTAGTTCGGGTTCTGGTTCCTATGCTCCCCCTCCGTCTTCCTTTCGCGTTATGTCGGCTTGCTTCGCGTGGGGTATATGGTTCCCTCCTCTTGCGGCCTTGTTACGACGTGTCGCGTGTGATCCCGCCGGCACTTCCCACTCCCGCTCACTCCTTGCGGTTGAACTAAGCCGTCCGCGCTTCGTTTCCCTTCTCATCCCTCCCCCGCTCACCCCGAGTCTCTCTATGGCTGCGTCTCATACTAGCAACTCGAGAAGCTAACAGCTATCTGCACCTCTATCTCCACTTGTGAGTGTATAGCGTCTATCTGATCTCTCCTCATCAATCCGCTCTTTCCTCCCCTCGCCCCTCTCTGTCCCCTGTCTCTCTCTCTCTTTCCCTCCTCTGTCCCTGTCTCTCTTTCCCTCTCTGTATCTATCTACCCCTTTATCTCGCTCTCCGTTTCTCTACCTCTCTCTCCATCTATCTATCTATCTCTTCACACTCACAAGAGATGAGTGCTGACATGACGACATAGCTCAGTCGGAAGTTTAAATTCATCTATTTTTCAATTTATTATATTTCCCTTTTATTTATTTTTCTCCTTCTTTGAAAATCTTTCTTTCGGCGAAAACTGGTCTTGTTCTGTTGCGTTGCACCCCCACCCCCCCCCCGTGTCATTTTCCTTTTTTTAAATTTCCGTTTCTACTTGAAATTATGATTTTTTTCCTGTTTTTTTCTGAATGTTTTTTTTTCTGCTTTTCTTTTCCCCCTTTTATTTTTTATCTATCTATTTTTAATTTGTCGTTGTTTATTTTTTATTTTATTTTTTTTCTCTACAGTAGATTTTAGCTTTATGGCGAAGATAAGATATGCAGATTTTTATTTATTTATCTATTATTATTCTTTTTTTTTTGTAAAATCTGTTTCTTATCATTTTTATTAAGGATGCGCGACAGATATGACTGATGTGATTTGTGGCACAGATACGGCTAATCGACTTTTACAGATACAATAAAGATACGGCAGATTTGATTTACGGCATAGATAAGACACGTATCTTTTTTTTTTTTTTTTTTTTTTTTTTTTTTTTTTTACATCGTAGATATCTGCATAATTAGTATGTGAAGAGAATGGAATGATTAGGAGGAGCATTATAATATATTTCCTGATGAAATATCTGTCTGTCTCTCGCTTTCTCTGTCTGTCTGTCTGTCTCGTCTGTCTGTCTGTCTGTCTCTGTCTGTTTTTCTTTCACTCTCTCTGTTTGTCTGTCTCTCGCTTCTCTGTCTGTCTGTTTGTCTATGTCTCTGTCTGTCTGTCTGTCTGTCTTTCTCTCGCTCTCTCTGTCTATTTGTCTCCGTCTCTGTCTTTCGCTTTCTCTGCCTGTCTCTGTCTTTCTCTATCACTCTCTCGCTCTCTCTGTCTACCTGTCGCCTCTTTCTCTCTCTCGCTTTCTCTGTCTCTCGCTCTTCCACATTCACTCCATTAGTTTGTTCGTAAATATGTTTTCATCTTCATTCTGATTCATAAAATCAGTATCGATGAACATCACACTTCAGCAACACATCCACACAAAAAATAAAAGTAGTTATCGCGCAAGGGAGACGGACGAAGGGGGAGGAGGGAGGGAGAGGGAAGGGAAGAGAGGGGGGGGGGGAAGAGGGGATGGGGAGGGAGAGGGAGAAGGAGAGAGAGGGGGGCAAAGAGGCAAGGAGAGGGGGAGGGGAGAGAGGGGGGGGCGAAGGGTGAGGGGGGGCATAGGGGGAGGGAGAGGGAGAAGGGAGGGACGTAGGGAGAGGGGGGGGGGGGTGAACGAATGGGGGAGAATGGGGAGAGTGAAGATGGGGATGGGGGGGAGGGCAGAAGGTCATCGAGAACCACAAACCAAAGACATAATTAATTCATGGTGTGTTAGCGTGATCGATGCGTAAAAAAAAAAAAAAAAAAAAAAAACGTAATTTAAAAAAGTAGATAAAATATAAAACATAAAAATAAGTGTGAAGAATACCTACACAAGAGAACATTTGGTCATCTTTCATATAACAAGTCATCATAACATTCCTATAAAGAAGAGACAGACGTTGACAGACATTTACAGACAACCTCGTGTGTTGTGACGTAACAATGTTGACAAGACACATCCGCAAGGGTTTTCCCCTCCCCCCTCCCTCTCTCTCCCCTTCCCCCTCCCTCTCTCTCACCCTCCCCCCTTCGTTTTCCTACCCCTCCCTCTCTCTCCCCTCCCCTCCCTCTCTCCCCAACCAACGCCATGTTGTGGTTCGAGAGACGAGCGACCAAAAGACACTCACGTTGTCTTGCATGCGTTGTCTTTGAAGATGTCTCTGTCGAAACGATGACGCATTTGGGGGACTTTTGAGCGGGGGAAAAGGGGGAGAGGGGGATGGTGGAAGGGGGATTATGGGGGGAAGGGAGATGACAAAGCAGACAGACAGATAGATAGACAAAACAGAAACAGAGACAACGAAGAGAGAAGAGAGAGAGAGAGAGAGAGAGAGAGAGAGAGAGAGAGAGAGAGAGAGAGAGAGAGAGAGAGAGAGAGAGAGAGAGAGAGAGAGAAGAGAGAGAGAGAGAGAGAGAGAGAGAGAGAAAGTGAGAGAGAGTGAGAAAGAGAGAGAGATAGAGAGAGAGAAAGAAAGACAAAGAAAGAGAACGAGGAAAGAGAGAGGGAAGAAAGAAAGAAAAGAACAAGAAAAAAAAGACAAAACCAGACAAAACACAAACACCGAGAAAGAGAGAATTGACCAAAGGATCGTCAATGTAAGGTTAGGAACAGCGGTTGGCGGAGGTCTAAAAAGCGCGCCATTTTCACGCCACGCAAAATATAAACGTATTTCGTCTCTCTTGGCTTCATATTCTCTATTGCGCCATTCGTTGAAGCTCTCCGTCTACTTCGCTCGACCAGTTCGCTGCCCTTCCCTCGAGCCGTGAAGCGTTGCAGGTGTCCATCAAGTGTGAAAAAATATATATAATTCTTCGTGACTTAAAAGGACGCTCCATGATATCCAACGCAATTCGATTCGGTGAATGCTCGAGATATATATATATATATATATATATATATATATATATATATATATATATATATATATATATATATAGGGAGAGAGAGAGGGGGGGGGAGAGAGAGAGAAGAAGAGAAGAGAAGAGAAGAGAAGAGAAGAGAGAGACAACCGGACAGAACCGCGTTGAAAAAGACTAACACCACGAAACAAAAACTATCAAGAAAAAAATCCTTCCATCCATCTCTATACACATACACAAATATACATCCAAGTCGAGGTAATTTCACACACTCACGATCACCGAAAATCTGGCATGATATCACAATTTCCGGCCCATGTGATTCCCCCTATCCCTTCCCCCGCCATTACCCCCCCCCCCCCTCCCTACCCGCCTGGACGGAAGACGAGCTTAAAAACTTTTGCTTTTCGAGTTCAAAAATGACTTGCGTCCGTATCCGGCAATTAAATTCAACACTGATGATGAATTCTAACTTATAAAACGAACAACTGAGTCACTCAAATATTTTTCAAACGAAAGGAAGAAGAGAGGAGGGGATGATAAAAGAAAGAAGAAATGGCGGGAAAAGAAGAAAAAAGAATGACGTTTCCGCGGATAGCAAACTTTAGCGAATTTCCTGTGACTGCAAATTTCCATTCTTCGTGGTTTTTGTCCCAATTCTTTTTAAGACTGGCTAGACAAAGGGCAAATATGATTTTACTTGGCTGCTTGTTGTTCTTAGTAACAGACAGATGAATGTGAAATTACCTATGAATGATATGAATACAGATAGATAGACAGATAGATGGATTAATAAATGAAATCAAAACAAAACAAGAACGATAATAATGATAATGACAATGATGATATTGTTACTGATAATAATGATACTGATAATGGTGATGATGATGATGAAAAATAATGATAATAACAACAGTAATAATAATAACAATAATATAAAAAATAATATCAACAGCAACAACAACAACAAACAATAATAAAACAACAATAACAATGATAATAATAATGATAATGGTGATGATGGTAACAACAATAACAATAACGTCAATAACAATAATAAAAAATGCCCACCAAAAAAGCCTACAAAAATACCCATCAAATTTTCGAACTCACCTCCATTGCTTTCCATGGCGCCCGCCTGCTGTAACATCTTTGCCAGAGCGACGTGGTTGTTCATCACTGCTACGTCTAGAACATTCGCTCCGTCGTTGTTCACGCTACGTCGATGGGACAAGAAAAAAGAAATTATATTAGTGAGGAATTTCGTCAAAAAATGCTTGTAGAATTGTGTGTGTGTGTGTGTGTGTGTGTGTGTGTGTGTGTGTGTGTGTGTGTGTGTGTGTGTGTGTGTGTGTGTGTGTGTGTGTGTGTGTGTGTGTGTGTGTGTGTGTGTGTGTGTGTGTGCGTGTGCGTGGTGTGTGTGTGTGTGTGTGTGTGTGTGTGTGTGTGTGTGTGTGTGTGTGTGTGTGTGTGTGTGTGTGTGTGTGTGTGCAAGCGGGGCCTTAAAGAGTAAACTTTGGACTTTCTCTTCTTTGTCCTTTAATTTCCAAGCCATTAACGCTTTCTGAAGGTTGGTCTGTTTGTCTGGCAACGGTGCTTCTTGTTTAGGTTAGTTGAAAAAATCCTTTTTCGTCTTTTGAATCTATTTTACTTCCATTTATTCATAAAGTATAATTATTTTCATTATGTACAACAAAAATAATATTAATGCATATTCCCCAAAGAGACATAATCGCAAAATTATAGCGGAGAAAAAAAAGTAAAAGTACATTCTAAAAGACAGCGATAGACGCTCTGGCCTCGCCGTTCGTCTAAACAAGTGACGTCATCATGGAAAGGACCCTCCACTAAAGTACTTCAAAAACCCTCCACGTCTTTTCAGGAGAAATATTTCGAGTAATTATCCACTCGTATAGTACATGGCGAGGGCTTAGTGTTATCTTCCATTCACTTGAAGATGAGAAGAAAAGAAGAAAAATGGATTGAAATGCATCCGACGAACCTAAACTAAATCCGCCATTGTAACGCACACTTCGGTTTAACCTTCATGAAGGGCAGTTATTACGAACTTTAACAATTAAAAACAACAGAAGAGAATAAATATAAAATAAAAAGACAAAAAAACTGTATCTTGACGGATGTTACAATATTTTGTAACCGCGGGAATACGGACGGAGTGATGGCGTCACAACATGCAAGAACGCGAGAAAGTTTTGTGTGCATTACGCTCTAAATCTCTGAACTTGAAGAGTCATCTACGTCATGCAAAAAACGGGGAAAATCCCTACTCGCGGGATGTCATGAAAAAGGGAAAAAATGTAGAAAGGAATCCTAATACACAGAATGACTCGCCGTCAAATAAACTTCCCAAGGAAATGGCGCGAATACTGGACAATGAAGATCATGACATCACGTAAATAATAACAAAAATATATAATAGATGAAAAAATATCAAAATAAAGATAAAAATCTATCAAAATCAATCCAATCATTTCCAAAACATCACTCACAAAAGCAATATAATAATTACACTCCCACTAAAACGAAAGAAACCCTTAAAATTCCCAAAGAACACGAAAAATACTAATAAGATGATGAAAAAGCAGAAAAAAACAAAACAATAACGGGATGCGCAGTAGTAAAGAACTTATGGGTTTTACCTGTTGATGTCCAGCTGGTTGTGGTCGAGGATACTTCTGGCTTTCTCCAGCTGCCCGTGCTCCACCGCGGCGAAGAGAGCTGGGGGAGAGAGAGAGAGAGGGAGAGATTAATAAGTGTGAAAGATAGAGAGAGAAGGTGAGAGTGGGTGCGAGAGAGAGAGAGAGAGAGAGAGAGAGAGAGAGAGAGAGAGAGAGAGAGAGAGAGAGAGAGAGAGAGAGAGAGAGAGAGAGAGAGAGAGAGAGAGAGAGAGAGAGAGAGAGAGAGAGAGAGAGAGAGAGAGAGAGAGAGGAAGAGAAAGAGATAGAAAAAGAGACAGACAGAGAGAGGGACAAATCAGTTGATTAAATCTAGGGTCACACTAATCTTCCCTATCCTGGGATCCTCGCCAGGCCGAAGTCTGGCCAGCTGACCTATCAAAACCCGTCCAGACTTGGGCGAGGCGGTCTAGGGATCCTAAGACAGAGAAAGTTAGTGTGATCCTAGCTTTGTCCTAGTTGTATGAGGGAAAGGGAAAGGGAGAGGGAGAATAGAGGATAGAGGGAGAGAGGGAGAGAGGAGAGAGAGGAGAGAGAGAGAGAGAGAGAGAGAGAGAGAGAGAAGAGGAGAGGAGAGAGAGAGGAGAGAGAGAGAGAGGAAGAGAGAGAGAGAGAGAGAGAGAGAGAGATAGAGATAGATAGAGAGAGAGAGAGAGAGAGAGAGAGAGAGAGAGAGAGAGAGAGAGAGAGAGAGAGAGAGAGAGAGAGAGAGGAGAGGGGGGGGGAGATCAACTGCTTAGCACAATCAGCTGATGGGGAGAATCATCTGGTCGGGAAAAGTCAGTTATCTCAATCGTCATGTCGTTACTGAGAAATCATATTATCGATATAACGACTATATAACGAAGATTATCTACTCTACTGAGACTATGAATACGTTATAGTATACATATAACGCAAACGTAGCACCAAGAATT